CATCAGAAAGGTGGACGGGCACTATGTACACGGCCCTAGGTTTGCTAGAGGGAGCTGTACTGTCTCAGTAACCTGTATTTTCCATCAAAGGAGGAGGGGACAGGTGGTGACGAGCTGATTGGGCTGGTTCAACCTTCGGCGCGAGAATCTTCAGACCGAGAACCCTAAGTGCAACGAGGGAGAAAGCGAGGAACCGACTGGGAAGGACAGCAACGAGAGCGTGTACGAAGCGGAGCGGGTCGAGTTTGGTCGTGCTAGGACTCGCCACAGCGGCACCGGAGCAGCGGCACCGGAGCAGCGGCACCGGAGCAGCGGAACCAGAGCAGGCGGACGGCATCGAACCGTTGCGCACGGACAAACATCTCTTGTATTGTCAATTATTTTTCCGTTTTTTTCCTGAATACAGGTGTTGGGTGTGTGTGATGACGTCACCGGTTTTGTAGAGAGACGCGGCAGAGATGGCGCGGATAACTCGGGTGCCTTAATTCTGTACCTGCATCGTGGAAGACCCCTTCAATGTAGAACGATTCCTAGTCAGTGTCGATGTTTACACTGCTGTGCCTAACACAGATGATCTGGATAGATTCGGGTGATTGTCAATTGCAATGATGGCTTTGGTTGGGCGTTCTTCTTCATTGTATGTCCACGGGCTCATTCTGACAGCACTTCAGACAGCAGCTCCATGCCCCGAGCTTGTGTACCATGCACCATGGTGTTATTATTGTACAGACAGCACTTCAGACAGCAGTACGCTGTAGTCGACAAACATTCATTTTGGTTAAATGCGGGACAAGGGGGGTGATGCTGCCGATGTAGTCGATTTGTAGTGTGTGGGCGTGTAGTTCAGTTGTGAGCACGCAAACGCGCTGCAGGGATTGCAGGTGTACCTCCTCGGGCTTGCGTACCCTTTCCTTGCTAATAGTGTGTGTGTTCTTCAGATCTTCTGATGGCTCTGGCATTTTTGTGACCACGGACCGAGTCTTTGCTAGATTTGGGGATTGGCAACTGACACGAGTTAATGTGAAGAAAAACAACAACAGCAACATTACCAGAAAAGATTACTGAGGGCGCCCGATGAACGAAATTTTCGAGCCACACCCCTCCAGTATGACCCTGGATGGTTGTAATTGTACGAAAAAATACACTGAAAAAAGAGTAGTACTCTACGTACACTGAAAAGTGGAACACACGTCTCACCAAAAAAAATGGGGGGACTGTCGCCATGTTAAAAAAGACGAAAACACACAAAAAAAAACCTTAAACGAAAGACTCTCCCACAAAATTGACTGTTGTTTTGCTGACTGTTCTCCTACTTTCAAGAACACCTCAGCAAACCCGTTCTTTCAAGGCAACAAGTCCCCCAATTTGCCAATATGCTAGATAGGGGGGGGTAATGAGCCGCGGTTGACGACTCAATACCTTGCAGTAGTCTATCTGCGATGCTGTGCAAGGTGCGAGATACTCTGCGGTCCAGGCAGCAACGCAGCAACCCGTACGCGCAATTCACGTGCAGTACCAACTTTGCGGAATAATATTCGAACGGATATTCCACGACCTTGTGGTACCGCGTGTAGTTCAGTTGTGAGCACGCCTACGTGCTGCAGGGATTGCAGGTGTACCTCCTCGGGCTTGCGTACCCTTTCCTTGCTAATAGTGTGTGTTCTTTTGATCTTCTGATGGCTCTAGCATTTTCGTGACCACGGACCGAGTCTTTGCTAGATTTTGGGATTAGCAACTGACACGAGTTTATGTGGAGAAAACAACAACAACAACAACAACAACAACAACAACAACAACAACAACAACAACAACCCCGCTCCCGCTGGAATGGTTGACAATAATATTTGTTCCAAATCAACAGCGGAGGAACATGCCCGCCTCGCAACGACCATATTGCTGTGGTACCTCCAACGATCGGCGCCTAACAGCACAGCACTGTCACAGACACAAATGAACGTTAGGTATTCCATAGCTCACACAAATTCGCTAGTAGTGCTGCTGCTTTGCTGTGATGGCAATGCCTCCCATCTCTCTTACTTACGTCTATTCGGCAGTGCATGCATGCTGGAAAAACGCCATGGATGGCGCTGGGGGTCAAAAGAGACTCTGCTTTTTTGCCCTTGAACAGCAGCAGTTTTCTTTCCTGGTGACCCCTCCTGACACACGAAAGTAACAGGGATGACAAAGGTACCCGCAACGAGCTGTGTCCATGCTCCGTCTTTTGTGGAGATTAACACCGACGAGGAGGCTGTAGTGCTCTCAGAAACGCGAGCGTTTGGCACAGCCTGCAAAAAGAAAAAACTCGGAGTCTGCCTCTGGTGTGGGATCATCAGAGTTCGTTCGGAGTAGTTTTTTCGCCCCAGGCGCAAAGGTTTCGTTTTCCGATGATCCCTCTCCCCACACGCCAACGCAACAGCAGTGGCGATGACATCCGCCACGAGCTTTGCATGTGGTTCCCTTCCCTCGTCAATGCGGTCTTGCCCCCCCAAGGGGTGTTGCGTGTTTGTTTAGCTTACTGAGTGCTTCCTCTGTGAACCCCGGGTTGTGTTGCTGTTGTTGTTGTTGTTTCTCACATTAGCTCTACAGTCCACAAAAAATGGGGAGCCCGTGGTCTCAAAACCCGGCACATACAACGCCGCGGGGAAACAAAACGAAAATAGGGTACAAACCACTCGGAAAACGAAAACAAAATGATAGAAAGAAAAGAACAGGTTTCGCACCGACCGTTCGAGAAAAGAGCCCTCGGACACCGATCAAAATAAAACAAAAACAAAAATAAAGGAGGACGCTTCCCACACCCGTCCAAAGAAAAAATCAAAGGGTAACGTAACGTACCAGCACCAGGCACTACGCACCAGGGCATGGGAGTAACAGAGCAAACAGGACAAAGAGGCGGCAGATGGGCAGACAGCCAGACGTACAAAAACAAAGGCAACAGCAAAGCGAGATCAAGGTACCCAACACAGCAGAGTAGGTAGGGAGGTCATGAAAAAAAGAAACACAGCACAGAGGCCGAAGGCAAATTAAAAAAAAAAAATGTGTGTGTGTGTGTGTGTGTGTATGTGTGTGTAAAGATCTCCGCTTTTGCGTTCCTTTACCTCTCGTCGAACTCCCGGGGACGTTTCGATGTTTTTGGTAGCAAATGCGTGTCAAACACGGCCATCTGTTGTCAGAGTGCGATGAAACCGGTGTGACGGAGAGTGCTAATTAGAGGCCTCCTCACAACCCAGCGCATCCTGAATCGGTGCTCTATAGACCTCGTTCTCGTCAAAAAAGGGATAGTATTTTGACGTACGATTCCCCGGGGTTTTTCGCGGAGGGGTTTCGCGGAAGGGTCGCTCTACAGCGCGATGGTTGAAATAGCACGATATCAGAGCCTTTTTTCCCTCCTCGGGATGAAGGGACAAAATGTCGCGCTTCGCGCTCCGCGGCTCATCAAAACGTTGTGCTGGGTGATGTGCAGGGTCTGAAAACTTGCCGGCTTAAGCCGCTTTCTGCTGCCCATTCCCCTTAAACTGTACTTTACATAATAGAGCACATTCTACACTAACGTTCGTCGACATCGGCCAGACTTTTCTCTACTGCATGTTCCTTGCAGCTTCTTCTGATTTGTTGTTCCCCAGGGAGGCTGGACAATCCTGTACAAGATATGTGCACTTGGCACTTGCACCAATAGTGTTAACGACACACCTTCAGCTTCTCCGCCTGAGCCGCTTTGTGCTCTTGGTCCCTCTTAGCCGACTCGGCTGCGGCTGCGGCTGCTCGGATGGACTGTCTAGCGTTTCGGTACTTGGCTGCAAGCTTCCCCAACGAGACCTGCACCTTTGTGGCATTGGTGCGAAGGGACGGAAACATTACATGCACACACCCCACATAATAGCGGAGCGCTTGGGGGAGAAGCATTCGTTCCAGCACCTACGCCTAGCAAAAAGGATGCACCATTGAAGGAGGCACTCAAGACGGCGTAGGCGGCTTCAACGCTGGGGCAGGATCGATCAAGTCGAAGGGAATCATCCATAACGCCAAAGAAAAAAGAGCACACGCATTGCCGTAACCCACGTGCTTACAACTAGCTTCATGTTGTTCCCCGCCCAGCAAAAACAAGGACAAGTACGCCCCGGGGTGGGTAGGACAGAGGCAACAGACCATAAGCTGTCCGTTCTCACCATCTCCTCAACTCCGAGGTAGAACTCAGCGCTAAATACCTGCTTGAAGCCCGAGATGCGGAAGACGATAACGTGGAATGCGAAGGTGCGGAAGGCCATTCCGTAGAACAGGAGGGACAGCCCGAACCCGAGCCGCGCCAGGTGGAGGGGCGGCCTCCCGACCATTTGTAGCCATCTTCCCAAGCTGCCCAAAACATCTTCCACCTTACAGCATGTTACGCGTTCGCGTTGGGTGGAGATGGTGGGTTGGGTAGAGCATGACCATAACATTTCCTTCTTGAACACCTGACGGCATCTATACGGATAACCATACAATTTGCAATGTAACGCATGGTTCTTCATGGAACTGCTTCGGGATGTACACTTCCCCCCCAAAGAAAGCCATTGCTAGTGAGTGGATACGGGAAACTCTCCGTTCCAACAACCAGCTTCGCCTTCCTTCTCACGTTGTCCAAGAAAATGCGGCTTTTTTGTATCCCTCCGCTGAGGCTTGCCAGAGCGGCAGCAGCACCAGCGTCAGCAGCCTCCGAAGCGGCACCGGCAGCAGCACCAACGGTAGCACCACCCTCACCCTCGGTTGCCCCCCCTCCCCCCCTGAAGCATGCCGCGGCAGCGAACGCTGTTCCCAGGGGCCTTCTCAAAAGCACGTAAAGATAGAAGGGCGGGGGATCGCAATAGGCCGTGAATGAAACTGACTAAATATTGAAGTATATCTGGAGGCTGACATACGCCCGAGGGAGTGTTGTCGGTCGTTCTTGGACATACTTCACGATTGACCGTGCCGATGGGAGTCAACCGTTCCGCGCTTCATTTCCGTGAACCAATAAGTGTTTTAGTTTCTCCTGCTTGTCCTAGCGGCTGATGGATTTACAAAACCAGACACCCCTTGCCTCTGGGCCAAGTTTTCCTAGAAAAAATACAAAAATGTCAGCGGCCCTCGTGTTGGAAAAAATGTTTTGCACGCAGAAAACACGTACTCGGGTAGGATCGGGGGCATCTCAATCTCGGCGCATTGCGCATGTGCGTCTTTCTTGGAAATAGTGATGGACAACCCATGCACCAGATCCTCATAAAGTACAAGTAATGCGAGCAGATACATTAATAAAGACAGCTGTTTATCAACATACACGCAACGGGGGGGTGATGCAAATAAATCCCTCCTTTCCCCACGTCACGATCATGGACGCGCATTCCTCTACGATGCCCTCTCCACTGTGGAGCATGTGACGTCGAATTGATCGGGGTGGTTAACATGTCACGGACCTGGGCCACATAAGTACTACGCTTCTTCTGGGGTGTGAATTGGTGTGTGTTTGGTTTTCAGCCAACGTGATACTCCCGACAGGATGCGCCAATGCCAGTCGCGGTGGTTGCACTTCTTAGGGTTATCGTGACTTTTCGAGAAGATGTACCCCCTCGCCCCCCTCCCCCCTGGTCTTGATGTCCCAATCTACCAACCTCCCGGCATCCGCGTTGCGCATCCCCCCACCACGGTGCTCGCTACCGGGTACGTGCTCGCCGAGGTCATTGCCGTTGCTGCCTGCGTTTAGAGCGCCAACAGCGCGAGCGTCTCTCCGGCAAGTAACGTTCCCATTGCCGTAGCGGCGGATGCTACCGCTGCCGCCTCCGCTGCTGCCGACGTTGACATGCCGAAACAAGCGAACAGGTGTCGTTCCTGAAGAGGGAGGAGACACGAAAGCAGAAGAAGCTGCCGTCGAACCTGACCCAGCTGCGTGTTGCTGCACAGAGCAAGGATACATTGCGCACAAAAAACGTAGGGCGGCAAGACAGGGAGATTGAGTGGCGGTGGAGAACGCACGATTGACGAAAAAATTGCTTGTCACTCGCGTACGGCATCGATCATACCGCTTTGCCATGGTCGCTTGGTCTCTTTGAAAGTTTATCAGTTGCGCCGTAGGTTGGCGTAAAATGTTACAAGGTTATCGCGCATACACGATACAATCAGCACGCTAAGTCGACGTGGAGGAGACAACGCAGGAGGAGGGGTAGCAGGCTAGGGAAGGGTGTGTCGCCAAAATTTAGGCGCTGCTACCAACTGGAAACTCCTTGTGCTGGTGGGACCTTTGCTTCGTTTGTCATAACTCCATTTGCTGCTTGGAAGCCTAGCACAAGACCGCGACTTGCCGGGAAAACAAAATAGAGACTCACGCGCGACTTATCGTACAGCTGGATTCTGCTACATCCGAGTGTTTGACACGGTTGGACGTTGCACGGAACTAAACATTCTGTCCCACTTGCGATGTCCGATCGTCTCGGTGTCAGAGTGTGACACCCATGCCAACACTCGACGTTTATCGAAAAAAGCAGGCGCACGCGTGATATCCCGTTCCTGAAAATCAAAGGTATGGCCATATAACAACAAGCGAGCCAACGATCGGCAAGACGACACTCATCGGAGAGATCGCACCGGGGTGCGCAAGAAAAAGCAAGAGCGGCATGATGTATTTCGATTCCCTCACCGGTATCGGCGAGATCGCACTCAATTGAGTGCTCGGTGTAGGTGTCCCCGAGCCACTTTTCGAGCTGCTGCAAAAGGTTTCCCTCCACTCACTGTCAAGACTCCTGCATATCCCTTTCGATTGGGGTTGTCTTTCGAACGTGTAACCTTTCCGTGAGATTTTGTTGTATTTCCTAAAAACGTGGGTACCTTCGACATGCGGGTAGGATACCAGCGACAGAGGGATTCCGCAATGAGTATTTCGCTGACTTTTCCGGGTCGTCGGACATGGTTATTGTACTGCTGTAGGGGGGCCTCAATATCCCCGGTATGTTCTCGGCGCATCGACCGGCGCTATCCAGGGGGCCCGGCGCTATTCAATGTACAGAATGACTTGGCGATTTAGTCTGTGCCCAGCAATTCCACCGGCGCCATACAGGGCCACCGGCGCTATTCAACCGGCGCTTTTGCCCCTCCCTTCTTCCCCTCGCTCCTCGACAAGCTTTTGCTTAG